CTATGCAAAGACAAATCAGAACAAGTTCTACATTTCAAATAAAAACCTATGTTTGAGTGTGATTCTCAACTTTGAGTTGGAGAATTTCACGTTCGGAACTGGTATTCTTCTTCTCACTCAGTCGCACAGTGTTCTCTAGCCATTTGTTCTCCTGCAATAGTTCCTTGTTCTTGGTGAGAAGTCGTTGGCATTTATCAGAAGTACATAAATCTGTGGATAGCTGGCTGTATGCACTAGAAGCTGGGCTAAAATCCTCGAAAGTTGGTCCAGAAGAGAGAATTGATGAAGTAGGAGAGCTTGTACTATTAGTTTCAGAGGTCCTGTCCAATGAGGGCACAATCTAAACACAATGTTGATGATCATGAATGTAGTTAACAAGCGTGAAGTACTTACAAGTGATGACAGATCCCAATTTGAGGGTGATCCATTCGTAGTACCAAGCATGAGCTAAGGAAGAGCCTCGAGTGGAGAATCAAGATAGTTTAAGTTGTTTGAGGATGGGTCCATAAGACTGGGACCTGCATCACCAGGTTTGTCCTGCAGGAATAGTGTTGATGTCTCCAGTGTCTGGTAGGGTTGCAGGAGACAAAAATTCTGAGGAGTGGCATGAGTCTCCTCCTCATAAATACTATTCTGCATGGCAGCAGTCTGTAGGAGGGATAAGAATGCCATAGTAGTATTACTGTAAGGAAGAAGACATGGCACTTGCATGATTCTACCATATGATGATTATGTCAGCACGGCTGCTTGCTATCATGCTAAGGCATTTGAGTCCTCTCCCCCTCCACCTGCTTGATTATCTTCGAGATAGCCACCCAAATAAGTGACATGCTGCTGTCCATTAAGAGAATGTGGAATCATGGCGACAATGGACTGAATTGATGTAACATTGATGGCAATGAGTTCTTCGTCCTCCTGGTGGACACAGGAAACAAATGTGTGATGAGAGTGATGGAGGAGTTCACAGTCTGGAGTGGAGTAAAGTGAGATAACTGCTAGGGCTTCAGGGGGGCTTGCAGGATTGACTCGACATTCAAAGAAGTACCGCACTTCACCAAACCGTGGTTCTCTATTTAATAGAACCTAGATATGTAAAACTCAACTCTAATCATTGTGAATTGATGAAATAACACATACCTTAACGTTACATGAGCGTCTCGCATTCATCTGAGTTTTTTTCCAGAGTGTACAAGCAATCTGCCCATTTGGAAGTTGTAAGCGAGCAATGCGAACGGTGCCATCAGATGCAAATGCACGCAATGTAGGAGAGTCAGGATGAACAGAATGAATGTAATTATGAACTGTGCAGCCTTCAGGTACAGATGTGGGGCAAGCGACATGATCTTGACAGCGCAAGAGAACATAGCCATTGCCAAGGTTGTTGGCACCTCTGGGAAGCGTTGTCACATCATTGGAGTCATCGAGACATGGCATCATTGATTTGAGTGCATTGACTTGAGCACGATGGATTGCTCGTTGTGCGAGATTGGCATATGGGCTGGATGGTTGACGTATCTCTTCCACAAGGTTTCTGATGGTATGTTCCATGGTCCACTGAGAGGCACAAATGAGGGGACCCTTCGTACAAACTTCATCAGCATAGTGATCTAGTGCATGGGCACACTGGCAAACAAAGTGAATCCATTCATGAGTAGTAGAGAACCTCAAAGTCTTTCCTCCACTCATGAAACAGCTGGTTTGCAAGAATCAATTCATCTCAGGAGATCCTATATTGCGAAATGAGGCGAACAGCATATACAAGCTTGCAGTAGTGTTCCCAGATGTGATCCAGAAGACGACCAAAGAGAACAGCAGGCCCAAGTCCATATAGGAACAGCCAGAACTCCCAAGCTTTATAACCACTGTTGATTTTCTCAGCGATGTTTTGAGGAGGACGGTCAAATGAGCCAGGTAAGAAGTGAGTAGTTTCACCGACAGCCTTTCCCAGCGACTTCCAGCTATCCCCAGTCAACATCGCCCAGAACCATGTTGCCTTATCATCGTCAGGGTCGCACTCGAAGGTCCCATGCCAGAGATTGATTAGAAGGTCTGGTATATTGAGTGAAAGGAGGTGCATGATATCTGAACCGAAACACTTGGGGATGCCAAGTGTTCATTTCAAAGGAAATCCGAGAAATATGGTAGGCTTTGATATCCCTGTCTCTAAGTGTCATTGTCTATATTGAGCTTCGTTGCTCGACTTTAACACGTAGATCAGATTGTTCCAGTATATCTCAGGCGATGCACCTTTTATTTTGTCAACATCAATGTCTGGATGATCACAACCGAGAACATTGTAGTCATCGGGTTTTAAGAGGATGGGGTAGTAGTGCGAGGCACCGTGCTTGTGTCTGCCTTTGAGCCCGCAGTAAAGTCAGCATCCATTCTTCCCGTGATGTCCAACGAGGCCTTTGAGATAGGCGAGGCCAGGTCCATCAGCAGTTCCTAGGGCAAGGAAGGGGTAGCTAGTGTACAGACGGTTGGCAGCGAGATGATGGAATCCCGGGAAGAGAAATGAGTCGAGAACTTTTGGCTTCTTCAGACCTTGAATGACAACACCAGGAAGAACATATTTCTTTTTATATCATTGAAGGTTAGTCAACTCAACTCAAGGTCTTCTAACTTAAAAGTGGGTGGGTGACACAAGTGTTGATATGTTGGTCAAAGTGCGATGCCTAGTCTGCTATGCTTGCGATAGACAAGCGCATTCGACCCAAGGGGAAGCAAGTAGACAAATCCACAAAGTGCAACAGGGCGATGAGCACAGGAACATTGCGCGTGATGAGCGTGAGAACGCGCGAAAGCACAGGAATGCAACAGAGGTGTATTATAGATGAGAGCTCAAAGGTGGTAAGATGGTAGATGGAGTGCTAATAGCTTGTAAGTATAGCTACAGACATGATGGGAGAAACATAAGGTGGGTAAAATGTCAAAAATGCGGAGCTATATATGTCGCTAAGTGAGGCAGAGCTGAGCTGAGTATGAGATAAGGTATGTGATGGGTATGTAAGTCAGGGTCCATGCTATAATATGGTGCAATAATAGATAAAATGCGAAATTACATACCAGTGAGACTTGCTGGACTATGGATGGATGCTCCTGGATGAAGGGCGACGAAAGCGCGAGAAAGTGCGCACATCTATGTGTCGCTAAGTGCGGGAAGGTTGCGCGCACGTCGCCTCGTGTCGCAATAGCTGTGGATAGCATGGGGAATCATGCTGTGAGTTTGTGCTGTGAGCTGTGAACATATGAGGTGCAGTATAGGGCGCTACAGGCCTGCAAAAGTGCGACTCTCTACATCGTGACTCTGGAGACCGATCGAAGACTACCCAAATCGAAATCCAGCAATTGGACTCTTTAGACTGATAGAGTTGAGCACCATCGATCGACATCATCAGCACAATGTCATTGTCAGTGATTTTTCCATCTTGGACAGCTTGTAGGTAGTTGGAGCCGTCAAGGAAGTCAGTGTATGTCTTGATAAGACCATTGGTTCGTGTGAGCTCATCAAAGACATGTTGTGTGTGGCATTGAAGGTAGCGCATCTGAGAGGCATTGTCAGGGTCACGAAAGAGGGCCTGGAGCTGCAGGGCCAAGAGGGATGGTTGGAAACTGTTTACGAGAGATCTTCTTCTTCCTGTGTGACTTTTCGAGGATCACTTGATCATATTGAGCTTCGCCACACTTAGGACAGTGTTTGAGGCCCACATATGGACCTGGGAAACCAATACATGAATTGTTGCACATGTTGTGCATCATACCAGAGACACCACTGAGATCCTCCACAGGCACATTTGGCTTGATATAAGGTAGGGAATTCTTCCACTTTGTGCAGCTCCATTAAGACCTCGCGTGCAGCAGTGTAGTCTGCCTGTGCATGTGAAAGCTTAAGGTAGAGCTTTACAGCAGCTTTCAAGATAGGGTCATCATTGAGTGAAAGAATGTGTTGAGGAGGATTGCGGAGTCGCTCGTTAGCATCTGAATCCATCCCAACATTCACGTCATCGAGTGATGCATTCTGGAGTGAAGCAATGTAGGCAATGGAGACCTGAAAGTCAGCTAGCGAGATATTGTCATAGATGGTGTTGAGGAGCTCTTCCTCATTGGCATCTAATGGCGCTGGCATGGGAGCCAGATCACCGATGTCATCCATCTCGGGAGGGAAGGGTAGCGCAGCATCTCCATCCAGTTTGCGTGGCTCCATTTCAGCAAGAGGAGGCTGCACAACATGATCAGGAGCATCCGGCTCGTCTCTGGGCTCTGTATCATCGAAATTGTGCTATATTGAAGGTCAAATGATGATAGGATGTAGTATGAGACACACCAACCGCATTGCCAGCATCGGGTGGCTGCAGTGTTTCATTTTGATGTTCGTCTGGTGGTTCCTCGAAGTTTACAGTGAGATCTTTTCACCAGAATCTCCACCAAGCTCTACAGCACGTTTCAGACATGCAGAAACTGTGCTTGGTTCATTTCGGAGATCCTTATGCTGCTGATATGTTGATCTGCTGACTTGCGTCAGCTGGTACTCATGCTTGCGACAGTCGCAAACGTACGACTTTTGAGCTTTGTGCATGGTCTGTAGAAGGGATGCACAAAGAGAAGAGGATGTATGTGTGTAGGACAGGACAGCACCCAAAACATGTAAAGTGTGTGACAAATACACATTGTCACTTAACTTTGCATGTTTTGCCTGTAATGCACAATGCGTCGTGCAACGTCGGTGTAACGGTAGTGTAACAGGCGCATTGTTGTGTGAAGTAATTAAAACACTAATATCTACCAACATTTGGGCGGTGTGTCAACATCTCACAACATCTCCCCAGCTCCGACAAGATCCACTTTTGACTGGGTTTGAACCTGCACTGAGTACTGGCACAGTCCCAGAGACAGATTTAGATTCTGTTGTGGTAACGGCTTAGCTAAGCCCAGTTAAGATGGACCTCCATAGAACCCATCATGAGCAAATCTTCAAGGCATGTTGTGATAGAAAAAAATGTTGTTTGGTAGGTTTCAAACCTACACACTCCAAGAGAAACAGATTTTGAATCTGTTGTAGTAACCACTTAACCAGGACCAGTTAAGATGAACCTCCAATGAAACCATCCATAAGTGAATATTAAGATGTGTTCTGATAGAAAAACATTACCATCAGCAGGTTTCAAACCTACACCATCCAAGAGAAACAGATTTCAATTCTGTTGTCTGTTGTGGTAACCACTCTGGCCAGGGAGCTCATATGAACCTCCAAAGAACTTTCCATGAGTACTTGAATACTTGAGTGTTAGTGAATGTCAAGGTGTGATAAGAGGGAAAATGATTTATCACTACTTAAGATAGACCTTGAAGCTTGAAGGATCCATCCATGAGTGAATGTTCAAGGCATGGGAAAAGGAAAAAAAAATAAAAATTGCTGATAAGGTTTCAAACCTGCAGCATGTAGGTTTCTATCCTGTCCCACTTACCACTTGACTAGTAAGACTGGCCAAGATGGACATCGACCAGTCAAAGAACATCATTGACAGTAGAATTTACCAGTCATTTGCCAATGCAAAATGAAATAAAAAGATTAGTTTGCCTTTAATTCAATGGACATAAAACATGCCAGGAATATATAAGCAAGTCGGGGGCTAGCACCAGCACCATTATCATTATGATATGTAACAGTGTTTGATGCAAAAAAAGAGTGAACTCCTCCCAGTGAGGCTGCACAGTAACTCTCCAAACGATCATCTGAGTGGTTCGAGGACAAGACTCACTCTAGATTGGAGCACAGTACAGTGTATGTTAATTACATATACTCTTCAAATAATCCCGCAGACCGTCCTGTGAAAACACGACAGTCTTCATCGCCCCCGCATACATGTTCCACACTACATCTCGGAACTTGAGGTAATCATCAATAATCGCCTCCTCTATATGCGTGACCAGCACAGACACCGTCCGATCATCCTCGAGGTACAGCCGCAGCTTCGTCACGAATGACCGCAGATCCCGTTCGCAAGCCTCGACGAAGACTTGATGAAGATTCTCTGCGATCGCTTGCTTTGCCCACTCCTGTTCCGTGAGGAGTGGAGCCTGTGGCCCTGATGAGAAGGCTACGCGGGCGTCATTGAATGCTCGTACGCGGTCCACCCACTCTCGCAGAGGCTCACAGGGCAATCTTGCACAGAACGAGATGACTTCCTGGCAGGCACGTTTCAGATCTTGATCTATGTCCTATATCAGCAGTCGATGTCAGTAAGGACGGAGAGTCAGTGAGAGAAACGCATCGTTTACATGTCGAGAGTCTGAAAGGGTATCATGTCCTCGAGGCATTCCTAATGAAGCGAAAAGAGCATCTGGTAGCAATGCAGTCGTGCGATTCAGAACTGATGCCAAGGTATCTGTAATGGAGAAAGTCAACAGGATGAACAAGTGTCATGAACAGACACCCACCCGTCATACCGCCTATATCAGACCTCGGCTCCGTATCTTTCGGGGTATAATCTAAATTATTTGCAACCTCCTTCAAAATCAGGAGATGGCGAACGAGAAATAGCTGGCCATCTAGCACGCCGGTAGAACCTCTCTGTTCGACCAAATTGGACGATGTGACTAGCGATTGGCGACAAAGGCTCACGGCCTCATGCGCAATATCTTCAAAAATAGCGGGCTGTATGAACTCAGCATCCAGTCAACACGCACAAGAGAAGTGACTACCTTGACGAAGTCATGCAGTTGAGATAATACCCATACCGTCTTTTGCAAGGTCGGAAACCACGTTTCTTTCTTATCTAATGAGGGCAGCTGGAAAAGCCGGCTCACGCTATCCTTCTCCTTGATTTCGTATTGAGAAACAGGCTTCCGTGCGGCTGACGGCGCTTATCAGACAGTGCCTAGAGTAGGTAGAATCATGCACTTACCGACAAGCTTATCAGGATACGCCAGGTCTTCTTGTCTCGGTGTGTAATATCGAATATCGGCCTGAATAACCGACTGCGCTTTGAAGAACAACCGGGTTTGTGCATCCTGGAGGACCATCTGCAGAAGGTGACTTATATGGAGTTGCCCTAGACCTTTGGGCTTTGGCTGATCAAAATCAACAATTAGGTTGCCTTCGTCAGGTGGCTCCTCTGGGAATTCTGCCACATCGAGAACCATTAGAGCTTGAAGCACCGTGCATACTTCACAGAGAGTTGTGAGGCGAGTTTCATGTAATATCCGGGGGCGCAGGTCATCGTAAAGGTAGTCGCATAAGTTCTCAAGATAAGTGCTTCATGTCATTGATGAGTGCAAGCAGAGACCACAAAAATGGTACCCACTAAAGCTGGTCCTCGCCAGAGTTGAAAAATTCTCGGTAGAGATCGAATTCGTCTGTGCAGAGGTGTTTCAGATAACTGCAACCGGCATTCGTCTGTTCTTGAATGAGTAATCGCCAGGCGCAACCGCTCACTACTCACTAATTCAACTAGCTCGGTGTGTGCTGGATCGAGCCCACGTATTTCTTCGATCAAGCGTCCCACCAGTAGACCTTTACGTGCTGAGAAATAAGCAGAATGACATTCTGAAAGCAGTGCCGACAAGTCCTCTGGATGAGCTTCGGCGCGACGCTCTAATTCGCTGAGCAAAGGAGCAAGCTGAGAAGTGACACTGCGGAACCTGGTGTAAAGCAGATGCATCTGAGCTGTTGACGATACATCCTGATGATCGCGGTGTCAAGAGATTGAGTATACTAGTAAGCAATGAATGAGTTTACCTTCTCTGACAGTCTTCTGGAAACGTCGGCAGTCAATGCTCTTAACGACCCAACGAAAAACATCCTGATGAGCGTCATGGCTCTCGTCATGCACTGCTGAAAACGGAGTAGGTATATCTCCGCTTCTCTGTAGTATCGCTGAAAGTGTTCAGTTAGTATAGCATCTTGGCAACTAGCATAACGACTCACATGAGCCTTGAGATAATCTATGCAAATATCCACACGCTCTACCATGTACAAGAAGTCGGTTTGAAGGACAAGGGACTCCCCAGGATGATTGAGCATGCGCGTCGCGTGTTCTAGTTCTTGGAAATACTCGAGCCTAGCTCCGATTTCTTCGGTGAGTTCAAGAAGCCTGTCCTAGTGCGAAATAATCAGCAGTTGGGATATTCCAGCGCATAGTTGCTTACTCTTTCCTCCAGCAACCGCTCGCATGCATCCTTCAGATTCTTTCCGCCCTCCTCCACACTTCGCCAGCCTTCAAGCAGCCCACCAACCTCCCGGTCGACCTCATCTATACGCTCAATAAGCGTATCTGCTGTGTTCAGGTGTTCGGATACCACCGCGACATGAGCGCGGAAGTGCGCTTCCTGGCTATGTGCTACGGACCTATCTATCTGTGCAAACCAGTCATAGAATTGTTGGGGAGTTTGTACGGGCTGCTTCGGGTGCAGCGCATGACTGGCGAACTGGCGAGTAGACGCTGGCACTGGTGTTGAGGGACGCGATACCGATCCGACCTTCCCTCGTAGATTGGGTGTAGAAGGACGCGAGGACTCGTCTTCATCGACGCTAAACTTATGTGTATTCAGCAATAAGCAGCACAATAAATTATCCTGACTGTACTTTAAGCGGGAGAGGTGTTTTCTCACTGGCAGCTTTGACCGCCGCGACGCTCTTGAGCGCCAGGTCACTGAGAGGTGCTTTGGCTTCCCATTCTTCGATGGTGAGCTGTGGCTTGGGCCGTGGTGTCGATGCAGCAGGAATGCCTGCGCGGCGGTGGGGTGCAGGGGCCTTTGACATAACGCTGGTTCTCACCAGAACATGACGTCGAGCTCAGCTGCTGTAAAGTATAAGCACAGAATGACTACTTCCTATTCGGGGTTTCCATGAAGTCCTCTATTTCCTACCACAACGAGCACCGCAAACTTTTCTGTCAACTAGGCTATTCCAGATCCCGAAAGTTTGTAGATAGTAAGTAATGCTATTGCCTCCAGCAAGGTAGATATTCTTAAGAAATGGCTAGCTTGGGTCCTTTGTGTCACCTAGGTCTTAGTTGTACCGACGAAATCATATCTCAAACTATGCCAGTGACTGAGTCCTTACTATTAGGCTCGTTGTCACGGTAGACGAGATCGACGCCATATTTTGTAACGCTGACCACCATGTTCGGAGCTCTGCAAACCAGCGTATCGTCATGTCAAAGGGTCGCGATTCATCGATCCAGATCACGGAGAGTCTTACAGGATTAAAGCTCGAACTCGTTGAGGATGAGACTCGTTAAATGTGCGCTTATGAGGGAAATTTTGCTGCTTCAGCGTGTCACATTCATCGCAAACTCTCCAACCAGGAGCAGTACCAGCCATTTTCAAGCTGGTTATGATAGCAAAACTACGCCCTGCCAGTGGCAGCTCTCAGGTTATGCAAACCCCCGTTTTGTGCAGTTTGTTCAGACAGGTTCAGATTCCACAGTACCTGTCCAGCATGCCACGCCAACAATTCGTCATCCTTCTGTTCGCTGTGATGGGAGGAATACTCAAATGAGATTTTTATGGATACAATAATCAAAGTGAATATTATCAACAAGCTTTCGGGATATGTACTAAGATCAGTCCCAAGGGGACGGTTCATCAGGTATAAAGGATACTGACGTTGGGCTAGCGAAGCCCAAACCCAGGGGAGGGGAATTGTCTAGAAGGTTGGAGCTCGCTTTCTCCACGGATTGCTTTTTCCGGTGTGACGCTGCAAATGGAGGTTTCGGTGCTGGCTCAAGGGTGAAATCAGTAAGATGGTCCGGATTGTCTGGCGTGAACGAGGTGGTACTTGGCGGAAGTACCAAGGGTACGGTAACATTGTCAACAACCGGAGATGAGGGTGAAGGAGATGTCGGCGGAGACTTTATTGCGTCTCGCGAAGAACTTCGAGAATGTAGAGATGGCTGTTGTGGAGTTTTATCCGGTACCCCTCCTGCAGAGAGCTGCGCACCCCGAAGTCGATCATTTTCGCCTTCAATCAGCCGTAGTGCTTCCTTGAGTGCATCCTTTTCTAACCGCACTTCTTGTAGTTCTTCCTCTGTCTCAGCGCGTTTAACGCGTTCAGTCGCGACCATCTTGTTTGCC